GTGGACGGTGATGATGACGGATGGTGTGCATGGAATGATTCTGTCGACATGGTTCACGCTGGTGGCAGTGTCTGCGGTTATGTCTTCCCCGCTGCTGCGGCGGAGACAATGGCCGGAGTCCCCGCGGTGGCGGCAGGAGCGGCGGCATCGGCAGCAACACCAGCGGCGACGACGGCGACCTCTGGCGGCAGTGTTCCCCCCGCGGCGGCGGCGGCGGGGGTGGACGGAGTTCCCGCGGTGGTAGCAGGAGCGGCAGCATCGGCAGCAGCTCCAGGGTCGACGGCGGCTACCTCTGGCGGTGGTGTTCTGCCCGCGACGGCGGCGGGGGTAATGGCCGGGGTCCCTGGAGTGGTGGCAGGAGCGGCGGCATCGGTAGCAGCTCCAGAGGCGACGACGGCGACCTACGGCGGCGGTAGTGTTTCCCTCGCAGCGACGGCGGCGGGGGGAATGACCGGGGTCCCGGCAGTGGCGGCAGGAGCGGCGGCATCGGCAGCAGCTCCATAGGCGACGGCGGCGACATACGGCGGCGGTAGTGTTTTTCTCGCAGCGACGGCGGGGGAGACGCCCGGAGGGCTCGCGGCGGCAGCTGGAGCAGCGGCATCGGCGGCGGTTCCAGCGGCGACGGCAGCGGTACCCGGCGACATTGTTATCTCCGCGACGGTGGCGGGGAGAACGACCGGAGCGCCCGCGTTGGTGGTTGGAGCGTCGGCATCAACGGCGGTTCCAGCGGCGGCACCCAACGGTGATGTTTCTCCCGCGGCTGCGGCGGGGAGAATGGCTTGAGAGCCCGAGCAGGTGGTTACAGCGGCGGCATCGGCGGCTGTAGTGGCGACATCGGTGACGGCACCACCCGCGACCGTGGCAACGGCACCGACCGCTACGATGGCGACCGTCGGTGACGTTTCCCTCACCATATCGGTTGGGGCGGCGGCCAGCAACGGAGAAGCGGTGGTCAACGGCATCGACGACGGCAGCGATGATGGCGGTTGGTGCGCAGGTGAGGTTGGTGATTGCTGGGATGACAGCGTCTGTGGCGAGAGGGGGGCGTCCACGCACCCTTTCGATCCCGGCACCGTGTGTTCGGGGGTGCACGGCACCAACTATCCCGGGGTGGACGACCTGGTCGATGGCTCCAACAGCAGTAGCAGCAGCAGCAGCAGCGGCAGCAGTACCAACGACGAGGCAAAGGGGATGGATGTGACCTGGTTTGGGGCACTGCTGCGCCCCTTCGACCCGGGGAAGCTGTACCGGCTGAATCCTGGGAGAGTGGGGCCGGTGATGGGGGTGGACACCCCGTTCGACCGTGGAAACACGTCGCGGGGGCAACGTCCGGGGAGCCAGTGTTCGCGACCGGAGCAGCTGCAGGAGGACCGGCGGAGAAAGTAGTTCGGAGGAAGGGGCGAGCTCAACAATGACGGTAAGCAGCGCGACTTCTACTGGGGTCTTGATCTCGCCATGGCATGTGATGTTTTGAGTACGTATTCTTTTTGCTTTGATTTGGTGTTGTGCAATCAATTGTTCTTGTGCTTGGTCTTCAGATCTCAATATAACTGCTGCACTTTTCACCGTTGTTTGAATGTCTGCAAATCATTTTCCCTATCGTTGGCGCCTTCGCAGGTTTGGATTTGCTTTGGTTTAGTTCTTTAGAGATGTCCACTCGCGTTATACCTTGCAGGGACACTAATTTCCACGGCCAAATGGCAGGAAATTTCCATGGTAGATTATTGTTGTTTTTCTGGGAGGCAAATGGAATGTTGCGGCCGGGGGGCTGATGTTTGCCAGGAAAATATCTCAACTGGCGGTGGCAGTATAATTTCTGCGTACGGTTTGTTCCACCTTTTTTTTTTTTTTCTTTGTTGAGATAACATTCTCTATGGTAGATACCGTCATGTTTTTTTGGTGGTACTGGATGTGCGTAGGCGTTGGCTTGGCATGCGACGTGCTGGGTAAGACGTTGGGGGGCACGCACCACTGCTCTGTCCCTCCGATGTACCGGTACCCGACGAGTCAATCCTTGCGGAGTACCAATTTTCCTTCCCAAGTATGCCTGTACGGCAGACTGGTATGTGCTGGACGTGTCACGTCTTTTTCTTTGATACATGTTGGTTTCTTGTTTCGGTTTGGAGTTTTATCCATGATGGAGTTGGGATGCAGAATCGACATGCTGGATTTTGCAGAATCCGCCAGATTGTTGCACTGCTGTCGGAAATCATGGGGGGGGGTTGTGATACCATGCTGTCCGCCGCAGCACAACAAGCAGTATTTCTGACATTGGATTTGGTAGATCATGTTTGGATTTTCCGCGTTTTCCCTGCGGATTTTATATGGATTTGATGATGTTGACTCATGGGATTTGGGCAGTTCATGTTTGGATTATTTTCCGCGTTGTACCTGCGGAGTTGACATGGGAATGAATATTGACTGGGATTTTTGCTGCGTTTGCTTGAGGTGTTCCAGCAGGGGGGCTGTTGGATGGATTAGCTGAGATGGAGAAATCGAAGCCGCATCAGTTATGATGAACGCTTTACTAGACACTTGTTTCCGAACACGTTTGGGATGACTTCATCGGTGTGTTTGCAGACTTTGCTTTTGTACTGGTATGTCTTTATATTGGAGGAAGGGTTTGGCACGTTTCGATGAGTCATGGTTGAAGACTTTGTGCTTCCGAAGGTTATTTGAACTGGGCATTGAGTTCAACATGACTTCTCTCCGAGGAATTTGTTCCGAGAAGGTGGGCCACGTTTTCCCGGAGTTACCCGTCTCCGTTCTGACGCAATTCCGATGTAATGTTATCTCTACTTGGTATTTTTCCGAGGGTAATTGTTTGCGTTTGACTGCTGGAGAAATTGGTAAATCATTTTCTCAAGAGGGTGATTTGTTAATTGACAGACCTTTTAGGGGATAGCAATTTGACATAATCAGAACACTTGAAAGATTTCGTCGAACGTGTGTTATTGGGAGATCGACAGATTTCGTAGAACATTGTTTTATTGGGAGATTGTTTGAATTGGAATGAACGATGGATGATTTCCGTTTGGATGCGTAGTTTGATTTGTTGTTTGAATTGGAATGAATGATGGATGATTTCCGTTTGGATGCGTAGTTTGATTTATTGCCGTTTTACCTGGCAATGATAGTCGTGACGGGGATTTCGTAGATCGTATCTCGTACCGAGCAGGGGGGCTGTTTGGGGTGCTCGGCAGAGAATACTGTCTACGGGGCCTCCGGGGGGAAACGCGGATGAAATGTATTGATGGGCATGCTGCACGGCGATGGTGTTGCCTACCGCATGTCTTTCACTCGCTAAGCAACAAGGTCTCGAGGCAACCTTCTTTCTGTTCCAGCCTCTGACGAGCTACCGCACCCAAACACAACTTTTCTTGCAACATTGTGGAGCCAAAAAAACGGTGTTATTCTTTCGTGCGTTGTTGTCCTTCTTCGCCGGAGCAAGGGCCTGCCGTCAAGCAGAGTTGTGACGACAAGGTAGTGGCAAAAACACACACCACACACCACGCGCAAACACAGCAAACTACGTGAGCGATAAGAAAGTACCCCTTCCCTCCAACACCCAATCTCACCCCGAGGTCGTTGTCGATCGCCTTCATCCCTCCGCTGCACAGTCTTGCTGCCGATGTCGCCAACAACTCTCTTCCACTTGCCGCTAGAGATCCGGCTCGCGGATATGTGCTCTCCATCGAGGGTCTGGGAGGGTAGCGTAGAGGGGGGCGGGGCGTAATCTTTTTGCATGCTCTAGCGGTTAGACCATTGACCACACGTCCTCGACGGGACGGAGCATTGTTCCTACAGGACCAATCACCGATGGCCAATCGTTTTTCCTAACTTGCCAAAGGTAGCTAAAAAATATTTCCCCCTGTCCTATCGATATGATTTCCCGCCTTCCAGGGTGGCCCATTTGGGTTCGGGTTGCCTCTTCACAGCGCAAGCGGGGAATCGAAACAGAAAATCAACCAGTGAGAGGCGAACAAGGTCCGTCCTCCAGGGTATATGCCAGTATATGCCAGTTGCGATGATTCAAACAATGACAATGAGGGTCGCACGGCACCGCAGACCGCGAACGATAGCTCCGAATAACGGCCATGATCAGGCGGGTTGGGGGGTCTTGGTCTCGCATCGATCGCTGCGAACTCAGCGAGAAATGTGTGATTAATGGCTGCGTGCTGATGTAGGAAAGCCCAAACAGCTGCCGTTGGCCTGCGTTGACAAAGAAAGAAAAACAATTTCAAGGCAATTACTCTCTTTGTTTTAGAAAGTACCACAGTTGAAGGGATGTGTTGAAGGCTTTTCAGCAAGTGGATAGCAACCGACTGGAAACTGGGCTTATTTTGAGTTTGCTCTCTCTCTCTCTCTCTCTCTCTCTCTCTCTCTCTCTCTCAACTTAGAGCAGGTCTCGCTCAGACAAACAATACCGTGCTCTGCTGGGTGTCAGCTTTCTGCCAAGCTCTTGCTTGCATCGTCAAGCAGTTTGTAGGTGGCTACACGAGTACCGAAATGAAGGCGTGTACGATTTTTTGAGGGTGTGGCAAGTGTGGCAAGCCGGCTTGATGTTCCTCGTCGAACTTTTGATTTGGATTTTGGAGGCTGGTCGTGCTCGTTTTTCATATTACCAAATCGATAAATTATCGGAACACAAACCCTGCCGTCCAAAATTCGGCGGTAGGACACTGGCGCGCTGTCCAATCAGCGACATCTTTGATCGTGGATTTTGGATTTTGGATGGAAAAGTGGTCTGACAAGGGCCACCCTCAGCCCACTTCTTAACCCCGTTATAGCTACCAACGTTTTTCCGGGCTATTCAACGCCTCAAACATCTTTCTGGAACCTCCCTAGACACATATTGAAGTGGTGGAGACTCTCCTGTATGGGTGCGCCTCGTGGAGCCTAACAGCGGAGCACTACACGAAGCTCAACGGGACCCACCACCAGTTCCTTACACGGTGCATCCGCTGGAGCAAGTGGAAACGCTCAGACCGCCCCCTGTCCTATGCCCAGGCCCTCATCCAGGCAGGCTGCGAGGAAACCATCGAGGCCACCGTGCGCAAACGGAGACTGTGTCTCGTGGGCTTTATTATGCGCATGGAGGACAGCCGCCTCCCCAAGCGCATGCTGCAAGGAGCGATGGCGGGGGGCATGGGATACCGGGGCGGGCAGGAGAGCGACTGGGTGTCTCGTCTAGGAGAGGACCTCGTGGCCTTCAACATGGGAGACGAAAAGGAAGGGGGTGAACGGAAAGAGAGCGCCAAGGACCCGGCGGTGTGGTACAAGAAGGTCGAGGACGGGGCGGCATGGTTCATGAGGAAATGGCACAGGCAGGAGGCGGAAGCGTCCGCGAAGCGCCAGCGCGCGCGGGAAGCAGAAGCAGAGAGTGCGGCCATCTCAGGACCAAAGAGAAAGAGAGCCGGGGAAGCGGCGTTGGGGGGGAAGAAACGGCGACCGGGCACTGCTGTAGAAGCGAGTAGGGCGGCCGAGGCAGCACTTGTGGCGACATATGTACCCGGCTGATGCTGTTGCGCCCTGTTTCCCTCCCTGCTGTATGCTATACTCCTTTTCCATGTCCTTTGTATTGCCTTCGGCCTCTGTGCTGTGTTTCTGTGTTTTTCTTTTTCATGACCTCCCTGCCTACTCTGCTGTGTTGGGTACCGTGATCTCGCTTTGCTGTTGCCTGTGTTTTTTGCACATCTGGCTGTCTGCCCATCTGCCGCCTCTTTGTCCTGTTTGCTCTGTTACTCCCATGCCCTGGTGCGCAGTGCCTGGTGCTGGTACGTTACGTTNTTTCATTACCTCCCTGCCTACTCTGCTGTGTTGGGTACCGTGATCTCGCTTTGCTGTTGCCTGTGTTTTTTGCACATCTGGCTGTCTGCCCATCTGCCGCCTCTTTGTCCTGTTTGCTTCGTTACTTCCATGCCCTGGTGCGTAGTGCCTGGTGCTGGTACGTTACCCTTTGATTTTTTCTTTGGGCGGGTGTGAGAAGCGTCCTCCTTTATTCTTGTTTTTGTTAGATTTTGATCGGTTTCCGAGGGCTCTTTTCTCGAACGGTCGGTGCGATACCTGTTCTTTTCTTTCTATCATTTTGTTTTCTTGTTCCGAGTGCTTTGTACCCTATTTTTGTTTTGTTTCCCCGCGACGTCGTATGTGACGGGTTTTGAGACCAGGGGCTCCCCATGTTTTGTGGACAATAGAGCTAATGTGAGAAACAACAAACAAAACATTATGTCCTCTTCGTGGAACGGACATTCTGCACAACTTCCGTTGTTCAACTTGTCTTCTTCGTCTACCTTTCTTAATCTTCGTCTACGTTCTCGAAGGCCGATTTCCCCATTTTCCTATTTTGTACCTTCGCTCCTGCATCCATTGATTGGACATTCATTTCAGCATACCGTACACATCTAGGCCCCTACCGTGGACGCTTTGGTTAGCTCTTGTTCTTGCCTCTGGCCAAAAGCAATATATATCTTCTGCTTGAACCCCTCTAGGCCTACATTCCGTTTCCAACGTAGAAACTCTTTGTCGACTTCAAACTTCTTCCATACGTCCTTTAGAACTCTAACCCAGTTTGAACAGCACGGACATTAGAAGGTACTGAGCGGAGACTGGTACGGTTCTTTCTGTGAAAACAACAAACAGCAGTGGGCCCTCTGACCCTATTGCGTTGTGGACTCGGGCCTCCCACGCTACATCTCGGCACTCTTTGATCGACCATATAGTGCATACGGCATTACCATCATTTTAGCTCCCTTTCATAAGTTGCCGTTCATATGGATTGGATCCCCGTTGTTGCCTACAACGTATACTGCTGCAATTGCGCTTGGAGCGTCCTGTATAACCTTTGTTTGCATCAACGGTACGGGAGGAGGAGGAGGAGGCGGGATAGATCACACGGTGTTCGCGTCTACCTACACCATGTACAGCAAACATAGTTTCACTCAGATGTTTGGCAAGACCTGCATGTTGAGTCCAGTTTCTTGTGAACTATGGCCATCATCACCGGCTAGTCGTGTCTAGCGAAATAAATAAGGTTGTATGCGGGCAAGTGAACCGGGGCCGGGCGGTGATTCAAAGGCGAGATCGCAAACGAGGGGTGTTCCTCACACAGCAGTTTTCACCGTTTGAAGTTTGAAGTGAGGATGTCCTCTATTGCCTGCTAATTAGATATACTTGCCGATGGCATCACTCACCTCTTTTCGCCACCCCGGTTTGATTCCATAGGTGTGATATGTTCAGCTTGACCCCGAGACCGCCGAGACAGTTGATAGCAAGCTTGCCAGTACGTGGGAGGCGAAACCGCGTGCTAGCACGGTGTACGCCAAAGTCCTCATCATCCTCAGATTCTTAGGCACCTCCACCGACACACACCACCGGAGCATTTACTGCGCGGTGGTTGCAGTACGTGCGAGGTACATATCCCAGCAGTGCTTGGTCGCTATGCACAATGTGGTATTATGTCAGCTTGAGTGGACGGCCGGCGGGCCGAGAGCGGATGCTGCGAAAACTGGTCAGTCGTTGTCGGTACAAGGTTGGTCAGGTTGTGGTCGGCAGGTCGGGTGGCGCGGCAGCTGCGACTCAGTCAGGTCACCCGGGTACCGCGTATGTACGTTTTGTCGTACGTGCCCCCTTCCGAGGTCCGTAAGCTTTGTTCCTTCTGTCTGGCAATATCGCCCGTCTCAAACATTAAACAACGGTTGCCGTAGTCCGGGCCAGTCTGGCCTCGCTAGGCCCTTACATTGAATAATTCTGCACCCTCGCCATCACAAGGGGACCGCTGTGCTCTTTTAAGCGCATGACAGTAGGAACAACAGGCGGCGCCGAACACCAGACAACGACCTACGTGCCACTTCTACGGAGAACGGGCGAGACGGAGAGACATTAAACGACGTTTCTACATAGTTGAGCACCCGGAGCGCCAGCCGGGCGCCATACACGTCGCAAGGCAAGGGAGGGGGGTTTGCCACGGTAATGGATAATGGACGAGAGGCAGGAACCAGTGAGTCATTTGAGCCAGTGATCGCGGCGAGCGGACGGAGTTTATGGAATGGCCGTTCGACGTCAAACGGCCGTCGTGGCAGCACCGGCAGCAGCGGCAGCAGTGGCAGCACAGACCGCGGAGATCCACAAGCAGGCTCTGATGTTCTCCTACAGCAGCCACAAGAGCAACGGCAACAGCAGGCCCAGCGGGTTGATGACAGTAACGTGCAGCAACAGGACCAGCAAACCAAAGCTCCCATCATGAAGCACTTGCCGGGCGAGGAGAAGAGCAGCGAGAATGGGGCAGGTGGCGAGGACAGCAGCAGCAGATGCAATGAGAAGGGAGAGGAAAGGCGTGAGGTGGGCTGGGCACCAACAACGACGAACAAGTTCTCGCCAATGGCGGAGACGGCAGCAGCGTCTTTCGTCCTGAAAGCAGATGACAGCGCCCAGGTAAAGGACGACGCAGGCAAGCGCGTGTCGTCCCTTACGCGCTACACGTCCATGCCGCTGTTGAGCGCAGGACCGCACTCCTCCCACAAGCGAGGAAGCTCAGCAGGGGCTTCCCTGACGTCCTTGCTCGGGCCGAACGAGCCAACGCACCACGATCAGCAGGAACAGCAGCAGCGGCGGCACCAACCGCAGCAGCACAACATGGTCTTAATGACGCCGAGGAGGGGGGGGCGCGGCACGGCCACGACAACACCGAACTCCCGGCCCAGAAACCGCAAGATGCCCTCCATGCTCGGCATGCTGCAGAACGCGCAAGACCAGGCAGCGTCACCCGTGTCTACGCTTAGCAGCAATTCCCACTTTCTCAGCGACAGCAGCCTTGTTGTAGGGGCCGGTGATGACGAGTCTTCGGCAGCTGCTGCCACCGCTGATAGGGGTGCCACCGCTGGAAACGATCCAGCGGGTCCAAGGAGCACCTCACGACGCATGAAGATGTTGACTTTTGGCGGGGGCGGGGGGACATCACAAACCACCACGCGCGCGGCCGGGAACAAAGGAGGGGAGCGACCGCTGTTGACCCCGCTGTCGATTAACCGGACGCCCAATTTCTACCACGAGGAAACGACCCCGGCGGTCGGCCCTACAAAGCGACTACGGGACAAGTCCGTGCGTTTCATTCAGCGGTTGCCGGGGCCCAGGCTGCTCATGCAGGGTGAGTGAAGTGCTAAGAACAGAGACGTGCGGCAAGTGTGAGAAAGGGATCTGTTGGGTACAATTATTGCCCAACAGACTTTTCGCCCCGTGACAACCCGGCTCGTTTTCTTTTGGACTGACCTACACACGATCCATAGAGTGTCTGCGTACGAGCAGTTTGCATGGAGATTGCAACAGGCCAGACCAGAACACGTCGTGCAGCACTCTGGATGAACGGTCGATCGGCGATTCGACCCTCTTAACCCGCCCCGTCGTCGTAACGCGTCTCCACGAAAATCCCGTATTCTGTCACAATACTCGCGACAGTCCTCGAGGAAGAAATCGACCCCAAGAACGTGCGGCTCACGACTCAGTCCGAGCCGGTCATCTTGATGGAAGTGATGCCGGCAGCCCTCGTGGTCTCCCTGCTGGTCTTGACCTACCTCGTCTTCGCCTGCGGTGTGGTCCTCATCGTGCGGTTCCACCTCCGCGGGACCTCTACCCTCGCCATGGGTCCGGGGGCAGGGAACGGGGCAGGCGAGCTATGCGCGTGGGGCTCATCCTCCACGGCCACCGTTACCACCAGCGGGGGAGAAGGAGACATTTTCATTATCGGAGCTGACGGCCCCGACCCGCACTCCCCGTCCGCCGCAGGATGCACGGTGCGTTCCCCGGGCCTGTCGGAGCTTTCCCTCGATTCACCCCTTCTGTCGTCATCATCGTCGACCTCGTCCTCCTTGACGGATGCTGATGAGGAGCGGTACGGAGCGGTGTTTTCCGGCCAGTTTTCGGGCATGACGGACCTATCCGGGAGCGTCTCCCTGCACGTATCGTTTGCCGACACCGAGGTACAAGAGTCTCTGCCCGACCCGGCCACGGTAGACATCGCTTTGGAGGCGTGCGTGGCAGGGGTGACGGCCGGGGTAGGTGACAGCACGGGCCAGGCGGTTCTGGAGTGGGGCGTCTGCGAGGAGGGCTGGCAGCCTGTGCTGTTCCAGGCAAGAACTTTTTTTGCCTCCTTTCTACCGCCTTGAACCGCCGTCGGGCGGTCGTTTCCGTGGTTTTGGGTAGCTTTTTGGATTTTTTACTCCGGGGACAGAGGTGGTTAGGTTGGTGCTCCATTGTAGAGAGAACGGTGGCGGTATGCTGGTTGGCGATCGAGTCCTGCGCTAAGTTTCCTCATGTCCCCTTTTTTTCGTTGGCCAGGAGGACATCTCCGCTCGAGTACGCAGCCTTCCCGAAAATCGCGGGTACACCATGTTCAACTTCTACCAGAACCAGGAGACCATCCGAGGGCAAGCTCTCGTTCGCCAGTATCGGGTCCAGGTATGCTTCGCATGCGCTCCGACAGCCATTTTGTCGGCCACGCCCATGTTCTCGGCCAAATGCTTTTGCGCGACCCTTCGGGCAATGACCGTGTGCTCCAATGGATGTTGAAGCCTCGTTTTTGTTCTTTGGAATAATGGGTGCGCGCGCATTCTTCTCCAAGTTTCCGACTACTTCAGGCGCTCTCTCCACACTGTCGTCCCTCGCAATTTCTCCACCCCCCCTCTTCTGGATGCATTAGGTTGGTTTTGTTTCATCCACTACCAGCTCTAGCAGCACCGGCGGGAGCAGTGGCGGCACCGAGGAGCCTTTCAGCTTGAGCGAGGCTAGGTGGTCCCTTGAGTACGAAACTGGCGCGACAGAGGAGTGGGCGAAGATTGTCCTAGCGGTCGTGCTGGTGTGCTGGGTACCTGTTTGGCTGGCGTGGTGCTGGACTGTGTTCTACAAGAACGGGGAGGGCGGATTCAAGGTGCGCTACTGATGTTAGGGGAGGGGCTGGATATATCGAGTTTCCACCGAGGGTACTCAACGTGATGCAAGCGTTAGGTCTTTTTCTCAGACTTGAACCGATCCAACATGGTCCATGTCTTGATGAGTACGCGGTTGATGGCGAGGTGAGTTGCCGTCGCCCCTCGCCGCCCCTATCCCGTCCTCCAAAGCCAGTCCCTACAAACGATTAAGACCGGCTGACGTTATGGTGTTGTGCGGGATATGTTTGTGGTGCCGACCGTCACTGAAAGAACGCGGCGTTCAGGTCTACTGCTAGAACAACAAGCGTGTTGAATCATCTAGGCAAGACCGAAACCATGCCGCCCCACTCTCACCCCCTTTCGCATCCACGAATGAAACGTGTACCACCGGTCTATGTATGTCGCTTGCTCGAACATGTAGAACGCCTTGCACGAGCGGAAATGGCTGGCTTTCATGGGTCTCGCGGTGGCGCTCTACCTAAATCCGATCATGGTGGTTGGCAACTTCGTCGCTCCCGGGTCCGCATCGTGGGGGCTGGCCAGCGAGATGTCTCTCAGCGTCGCAGTGGCGGTGTTTCTGGTGGTGGCCCTCTGTATCGCTGACGGGGTGGGCAAGGACAGGGTGGGTGGCGGCGCCGGGGGGTCCCTCGGCTTCTACGTCCCTAAGGTGACGGAAAAATAGTTGTTCGTGTACGACCGCTTGCTTTACCCACGGCAAGAATTTTCCAGAAATTTCGAGACAAGAGAAGGCCGCTAGGTGTACCACGCTGTGTGTACCGCGCTGTTGTGTATTGTTGTTGGGGCGAGGCTTACTGGCGGGGTGCAGCCCACCAACCATCGGAGCATGACCTCACGCGCCGCGGTGGAGAGATTTTCAGTAGGGATTTGTGGTGATGGTTGCAGAGATATGCGAAATTAATCACCGTTCGTTCGTCTTCAACGACCGTCCAGTCTCATGCTCCTCGTTCCCTTTCATCGGGACGGGATCAGCACAACCGTGTTTTTTCGCAGGATACGTCGAAAGGTTGGGAAGCGTTAAGAGCTTCAGCAGTAGGTGCCTAGGAACCAGCGGAAGGAGGTTATCATCCACCTTTGGAGATGGGTCATAGATTGTCGAGTGTACAGCAACGGCAACCCCTAGAATCCGTACAGCCCCATCACTCCTCCCCACAATAATTATCTCTGTTTGTGTGTTTGTGTGTTCATGTGTGGTTTGATGCGCTGATGTTGGCTGGCAGGTGGTGTTTGGCGTCTTGACCCTGGCGCTTATGCTGCTGGTGGACCTCACGAGCTTCCCCACCCTCACTGCGATGGATCGCGGCTCTCTGTTGGCGGTACAGAACTGGCCTGAATCCCAGCGGCACGCTTTTGCAGGGGTGGGTTGCTTGGGTCGCATTCGTGAGACAATAAGAGCACGTGCTTCTTGAGAAAACCGGGAAATGTGCTTCGCACCGGGGGCGGGGGGCGGGGGGGGCGTCAGGCTTTTGTTTCCTGTGCGGAACCAGCCGTTTGGAAAATAAATAGGTTGACCCAAGGTTGCTTTGTTTTACATGTGTTCTTGCGTTTTGTTTAGTTTTTGGGGAGCAGGGTCGTGTGTTCGTTCAACTTTCAGAGCTAAGCGCCTATCCCCCCGCCATTTAGCATCCTCGCAACGTACCAGTTGCAGTTCGTGGATTCGAATATGGCAGGGAACGGTTAGCAATTCGGCAATGGAAGGCGACCATTTTGTGAGTATTCCAACCAGAGGTAAAGGACTTGTGAACCCTTCGCGCGTTCGGCGTCGATGACAGCAGACAGCTGTTTTCATAGTCTAGATCGCAGATGAGACACGGGCAGGGGAGGATATACGTGGTACTTCGTAAATTTCTTGAGGAATGCCGCTGCAAAGACAACGAAAATCGCGTGTCTATACGGTTTGCATCGTCGGTATCGTCGGCATCGACATCATTCATCACAGGTGGCGTCCGCGCGTATCTTCATGGTGATGCTGTGGGCGGTGTGGATGTTGTGCCGCATCTACATCTCGGGCTGCCTCTTGAGGAAGCTTCCCTACGTGCCGAACCGATACCAGCAGCTGTCATACAGATTCTTCGCCCTCCAGGTGTTCGCTCGTTCATATGTTATTCTTGTATTATTGTTGCTTTTGTTGCGGTGCTGATGTTGATGCTGCGTTACATGTGTGGTACATGTGTTGTGCTTCCTTGCGTCCGTCGTTGTGCGTAACCGCACCATGCTTACTTTTGAGGCAAGTCTTGCGCGGGCAATTCCACGTACGCAGTACGTGCGGTCGACTCCACCATTGCAAGTTCAAGTCCGAGGAGAACAAGCGCTTTCGAACGTGGGAAAACATTTTTCAGTGTATTTTCTCACGAGGAAGACGGGATTTCCATGTGATACGTTCTTTTCTGTCCTTTTCGCAGGCGTTCTTGCTGGGTATCGTGTACGTGACGTTCGCTCTTTGGCGGCTGATTGACATCCTCAACGACGACTTGGGCGGAAACACAGTGGCCGCCGAATTCATGCTCTTCATTAAGACCAGACAGGTATCCGCCTGTCTACCGTATCCTTGTCTACTGGGCTTCGGTGGCGTCTGTGATACCTCTCTCTGTTGTTTCCATAGTACTGGGTAAGCAGAAATCGCGATTTTCTCTCACCTGCGCCACCTACTGCTGTAGTTTACCCCGCTGCAATGCCTGAGAGCCACCCTCGCCCAAGTTTTCTCCAGTTGCAATGTTGTTTTGTGTAACTGCAGCCACCCTTGTGCGCGCATGCCCCAGCTGAGATAGAACAAAACGTGTGGGGCATGTAGGGGCTAATGCTGCGTTGTTTTGTACCACAATTATGGACACTTGCGTACTGTTTACCATCCCCGAGTCCCTGGCTGGCCCAACAGGGGCCAGTCGTAAACTACTTTGGACTTGAAAATGCCTGGTGTTTTGGTTCGCATGGATTGTTCGTGTTACTTTCTCTTCACCTCTACTTGCTTGTCGATCTGTGGTTCTTGGCAGGACCACCTCGGATCGATGTCGACCTTGTGTGCGTACGCCCTGCAGCTGCTTCTGCTCTTCCTGCCATCGTCGTTCAAGGAGTCGAAGCTCTTCAGGGATATCGCTGTAAGCTCGTGTGTGTGTCGGAGTACGCACTCTCCGTCACCTGTCGTTTCATTGGCAGCTCTTTTTGGTCTGTATTCCGCACAGACAACATTAAGCCCTCTTTCCTGTTTCATCTGAGGCGAACACCCTTGTCCATCCGTTGGTGCAAACTTTGTTGCTCACTTGACTGTCTCGATCTTCGTCGTGGTGACTGCATGAAGGTGCGCTTCGTCTACTTCGAAGAACAAGTGCCGGTCGCCAAGAGCAAGAGGAGGGGAGGAGGAGCAGTGGGGGTCGAGGGCAACGCCGGCAGTGGCCAGGAAGGGGACGAAGACCACATTTTCCAGGGCGGAGCCTTGAACCCGTGGGATACCTCGAAAACGTCCCCGGGGGATGTCGGGAAGGAGGATGAGGAAGACAAACCTCTGTTCTGCGTAGAGACTGCCGCGTGGTGAGCACTGAGGAGGGGTAGGGTATGGTATTTTGCTTGCACCGGGGAGGAACGGGAGTGGTGGCTACCATGGCGAGAAGAATTTCCAGATGCTCACATATTCTGATCAAATCACATCGCCAGTGCCACTCCCTTCCGTGCCGATCTCGCCAGTAGAGGCCAACCGAAGTCGTTTGCCGTAATGGTTCCCCTGTATTTTCGTGCCTCACACCGTCTCACTCGTATGTTTTCCTGCAGTAACCCCTGCAGCCTCACTTACATGTCCTGGTTGCTTCGATACCTGTCCACCCTCCACGCGACCTCGCACTCTGTAGCCCTCACGCACACGTGGATGTGAAAAAAATGTGCAGAGCAACGTACAGTCTACCGCACTGTTCGGGTCACCTCTACTTGAGGCAAATACGGTGATCCGTCTCGCAGGAGATGTGCTGTCAATGATCGTAGACTATGCGTTCACCTCCCTTACGCATTTGCCCACTACCCTCCTCTCGGAAAAAATCCGACCACGTCGACCTCGAGCAGGCTCTTGGAACTGGCGTGGGAAGCTTACAACGACCCGATAGGGTTCGAGAACCCAAACAACTACCACTTCGGGGTGGCGGACTTCGCGCGGATGGGGTTCGAGCTGGTGCGGCACATTCACAACGTCCAGCACGACACTCACTGCTTCATTCTCAAGGACGTACCGAGAGGGGTACGTAGTTTTTGTGTTTATTGAAATGCAGAGCGTGGTAATCTTGGGAACGGTTTTCTGCGGGGAGTTCTTGTTGTCGCAGGAAATGTTTTGTTGTAGCGGGCGCATTTTATTTTTTCGCGTTTCTCTCGCGCTGGCAACATTGTGTTGTGAAAATTGGTACCTCTCCTCGTTTGTGTTGCAGCTGTTGTGTCATTGCATTGTTTCGTTTTTCATTGAACATCAATCGGTTGTGTGTGCGTATTTTCTTCGTTTTGGTGGTGCGGGTGTTCTCTCGGCTAGATTGGCTACTCCCGTGCTCACGGTAGCCTCCTTCCATGCGATGTTGCTCTCGCTATCTCCCTCCCTCTCTCTGAGAAGCAACTATCCCGGGTAACGCAGATGATATTCCCGCCGCGCGCGTGCATGCTTTCAACCCCCCCTCGAGAAGGGGGCGAGGATCAACCCTCAAGAGTCGCTCATATCAGCGATCGAGGTTGCAGTGCATTGTTTCACTCGCAAACGAACAAGGGCATGCACCGCATTATCATTTCTGCATCTACCAGCAATTTCGTCAGCCTCGCGAGTGCCTCCCCCCTGCTAGCGGGCGGCTTGTCCTTTCCTAGCCTTTATGTTTTCTCGTTCTCCGCCGTTTCTTTGGGCCGTCGATGAAGCGTCTCGTGGTAACGTTTCGGGGATCAGTCGGGACCAAACACTGGATGGACAATCTGAGGTATGCTGATCCGGCCTGATGAAGACAGTTGTATATGTGAAGTTGCCTCAGTATGGATCATTTTAACGCACTCCTTTGCCCAAGCGGGAACGCCATTTTGGAGATAGTTGTTTTCAGTGTCAATGGTCGCGGTGTGGAGCAGTTTGAGGTTTGTGTGTATGCATTGATCCTGGGGTGTACACGTGCAGACCGTTTTTCCGAACATGGAGGATGCAGAGACACCGGGGTGCAGCAGTAAGCGCATGGTAACATATCATGGCGAAAAAGATTCACATTCCCCGTGAGAATTTTTGTGGAAAGACCAGGCGGGATCATAAAGGAGGAAGACCAGGTAGCATTGCTTTGAACCGTCCTTCTGTTCCGCTCGTATTTCGCGGTTCTGCAAGAAGGGTTCAAGCCTTTCCCTTCCCTCGTATACCGAGAAGAAATTGCTTCGGAATTGGTCATATACGTACAGTTAAAAGTAAACAGTATTCCTTGTGGTACCGGGCGGGGTATCTCCCAAAACTCCCTGGTATCTAAGTTATGAGTCCCATCAAGTCGATTGTTGAATCACGTGTCGCCAACGATGTGGTTACGAGTGCCGCACGATGAATCGTTCGGCGTTGCTCAAGAATGACACCCTGCAAGCGTCACGTCCCATGACCTATGCAACTTGTTGTCCTTGTTCGGAGATATCTCTGACATTCTTTCTACCATGTGGTGTGATAGCTTCTCATCCGTGTTTTTTTTTGATGCCATGGAGTAGGGGGGAGTCCTCAGTAGAGCCTGCGAGGTGCCTGCCACAGTGGACAGGGATGGGGAATCCTAGTTGTTTCGCCCTCTGGATCGTGCCGGGGGCAGGCTCTGGTACCATGAAGACTCTATATGCAAGATTTATGGCACACTGCGGCACTGCGGAGCCATCACGCACAGTACCTATGTTCCACTCCGCACTTCCGCCCCACCCAGATTTTTGCAGACGGAGTTCAACATGGATCAGATGATGCCCAAGGGTCGGGAGCACGAAGCGCCGGACGTTTTAGCCGAGGACATCGATATCCGGGCTGCGGAAGCCTTGCACGGCGTCGTGGCGCACTTGGCGTCTGCGAGTGAAGAGGTGAGTAGCAACTGGTAAGCATACCTTGCCGTTCTTCTCCGCGTTCCCGTCTTCGTGGACCACGTCGTTGTTTCTTGAGTCACTATCCGTTCTTTCATCGCCATTTCCTTCTCGGTGTACCATCGGTGACGCAAGATACCACACCCGCTGGACCGATAATCGAAGCTTGGTATACTGCCATTCTTGTCCGCGTTGCCTACTATTCAATGCCTATTTGGCCGGGGTGTACTGATTTGTCACGAATGAACGCCGTAAGAATTGAACAACACATCTCGCTTCCGAACGCTACCGGAACGGAAAGCGGGAGTAGGTGTGCTCATGATTGTGCATGGGGTAGAACAGTCAGCATTAGTAGCATCCCCACACTGCCGGGACGACTAGTCTCACTAGTTTTCACCTACTCCAGTATGAAAGGAATAGACAAAAAAATACTGGCGACAGCAGTAATCCCACCGGCGAACCAGCGACCGGGGTCGCTAATGCCACTGGTGGCCTCAACAAGTACGACAGGAGGAAATCGGCCTACTTCGGAGAATGGATCAAAAACCTTTGGGTAGTCTTGGGCGTACTCCGTTCAGTCGGCACCACCACGGCCACCTTCGAACGCTCTACGACGGCAAACGAAGTTTTGTGCCCCAGTCATACTTGATAGTCGAGCTACCGGCAGCCCTTTAATTCCAGAAAACGAAGATGGGAGCGAGGTCAGCGGGGACGGACAAGCGGCAAAGAGCTATACAACGCTAACAGCAAGGTCACAGGCGGAAGTCACCCGCGCCACCATGGAGGAGACACTGGATACCCTGATGGAGCGTGGGGAGCAGCCAGATGACGACTTCTGCTGCCTGCTCCACATGTCCCTAAAAATGGAGAAGTCGTTTCTGCCCGCTACTTGAAAGACATCCGTGCGCCTTGGAGTAATGGTCCAGGCGTTTAGCACAATGTCTTCTCGCCAACGAAGCAACTGGGGAACGAGATTGAAGGCCATCCTTTTGCCTGGGAAACCTCCTTGTTGACGTAGACGAGACCGTCATACCCTCAACGAGGACAGGGAGGATCAAGGGATATGCACCTTTGTGGCTCCACTGGGACGACGTATCGAGCTCACACGATGCGACAAGGTCAATCACACAATGCTCCGACTCCGGCATCACTGCTGTGGAATACACCGCCACGCGCCACAACTGAACGGGGCATCAGAGAGAGACGTGCGGACCCTGGAGAAGATCACAAGTTTCAGATGTAAGGACTAAGAGTTCCCCCCTTACATGTGGGGTGACCTGTTCTTCACAGCAACATGCCTGTGCAACCGGTTACCTCATTATGCGTCGGGAGGAAACACGCGCTGTACGAGATGTTTAGCAAGGCGGCAGACATGTTCAGAAAGGGCTGACTTCCACTGCGAGACATACACGAGCGAGGCGGATGGCAGGGCGTTTCGGCTAAATCTGTGAGCTTAGCCAGGACAGCAAGCGTGCAGGATCTTCAACCCTCCAAGGGAGCTGAGGTGGAAGCCGAAACGTCAAATTATTGACACCACAGCTTTCTCTGCAATCGGGCGTCACCACCGAGGACTGCGGCTACGATGGAGGCATTTCTGATTCACAGCAGCCCAACGCTGTAAACAAAATGCGAAATTCACATGATGCACGGATGGTCTACCGCTACATCACCGACCAATTCGCGAGCTCGAGCTTCCGCGGCAGAATATTCACACCACACGAACATGCAGTTCGAGAGAAACTACTGTAGCGGGAATGAGCCCGATCTTCAACGGCGGAGGTGGAACCACCCAACGCCACTCCTGATGCCGTGGACCGCTCCGGACAAAAAATATGGGGCTTCGTCATCCGGAGCAACATCCTCGGCCTCGGACGGGGTCGAGGTTTTCAGCTCTGCGCGGATGAACGCGGACTGCATCGGACCCCTGGGCGTAGGAGCTGAAGCACGAGCACGTCTCTGCTCCTTTTGTTCACTCCTCGCCCATCACCCAAACAATCAAGACTCGGTGGTCAGTCAGCAGCAACATGTTGTGTATCTTCGTTCCGAGGCACACCGAGATGCAACACTCCGCCGTGTATTGGTACCTCTGCTGCTGTTGGCTGTGCATCAGGCTGCGATATCTCTGTAGATAGAACCTACAGCCGTTGCTGCCGCTACTATAGCATACCAGGGTATCACCCTCTAACATGCCAACCTTTGTCGTTTGCATTCTGTTTCCATTTTTGTCGGCAACATATTCGGCAGGAAAAAGAGGAGGACGATCACGGTTTCGGCGATCACGAAGAACCGGTTGGAGGAACAGAAGTCGCCCCATCGCCTGCCGCCGCTGGTTGCACTGCCGGCGAACCCTCGCCCTCTCTACCCCATTCGTCCCGTGTCACCATTCCCGCCCCTGACGAATACGAGCCATCGTCGTTGTGCTCGCCCGTGAACGGACACGAACGAGCAACACCAGACGACTGTAGACGCGGTGAACTCGGGAACGGCTTGTCGATAGATGTATCCACTGGTGCCCAAAGCTGTGCCAACGGCCACAATATTAAATGCGGCGCTGGAATCGATTCTTGCAGCAGCATGGCCGGCGTCGGCGATGGTGACTTGGGAGCTGCGGCGGGTGATGTCGGGCTATTTGCCTGCGGGGACGGAGACGATAGCGGTACGCACTCTATCATGAAGGGATGCATGACGAGAGACCCGGACGACCACGGCGTCGCTCGCACCAATAACCACACCCCAACGGGGTATCCGCTACACGCTCCATCGACCGTTCCTTTGTCGACATCGTCCACGCTGGTTCCGTCCAGAGCGTCATCGTCCGCCACGACGCGACCCGACTTCACGCACGGTGGCCGGGACAGCCGGGCCTGCAGCAGCGCGAGCAACAACGGAGGGAGGAAGGGTGGAAACGGGGGAGGGCAAGGCGGTGGCGGTGGCGGTGGCGGTGGCGGCGGCGACGTCGGCAGCGACACGGGGCGCGAGAAGACTCCGCTTCAACGAGCCCTTCCGATATCTCCGTCCGGGATTCGAGCCATCCTGAAAGGGTTCTCGGTGCTACCTTGGCAGTTCAGAGAGCCGTCGCGAGACGGAAGTCGTTGGAACTTTGCCTCCGGTACCGCGGGGGCTAGCTCTGAGCCAACGACCGCGGGGGCCGCGGGGGCAGCGGGGGCAGCGCCGACGGGAGACCACGCTCAGACTGCTGTTTCTGAAGGAGGTAATGGTGGAAGCGCAAGTGAAGCAGGCGGCGTCGCCAGCGCGTCCCCTCCATCTGCCTTTCTCTCAACCTCCGCCTCCGCACAAACAAGCTCCCCGCGCAGCGGGTTGATCGCGAACGTGGAAAATCTCGGCACTCCGCGGCTTGTGCGTAGCAACTCCATGACGGTGGTGAGCGACATCGAGGAGGGGAAAGGACGATGGCTCCGACGAGGGAGCTCCGCCGTCACGGCCGCCGCCGAGGCGGGGGCGGGTCGCCGCGGTGGCAACGTCAGCGGGGAGGGCAGAAGGTGGAGCACGCCTCGAGAGTTTTTCGAAGGGGGGATTGAGTTGCTTGGCGGGGGCAGCGGGGGGTGGATGGCCCAGGGTGGTCGCGGTCGTTCTGTGCGCGCACGCAGGGGGCGGTCGGCTTCTTTTGACCACGCCGCGATACTCGAGGCAAACGACGGGGAGGAGTCCGCACGCTCGAGGCACGGGGAGGAGCGGGGTGCCTGGGGAGCACCGTGGCGGATGGGAGGGATAGGCAGTGGGCTACCGTCTGGAGGGCGTGGTGGCTGGCAAGGAATCCCGGTGAGTCAGTGTGCTTAGCGTCGTATCAGGCGCATGAGATTGAACACGTTTGATAGCAGAGTATTGGGAGATTCAATCGTGAAGCTCTCTCGTTGGAATTGCCCTTCTCGTTTCACTTGGTCAGGCACTGGCTGTGCAGCCGTCCCGTGTAGTAAAAAAGCGCGGCGGAATTCGTGACCTTGCAAGGTCTTCGTTGTTTCTCTAACGTACATCAGTATCCGCGACAATCCCCGCCCCCTTGAAACGATATGCGACGCTTTGGCCAGAACTTGTTGGTTTCTCAAGTACCATGGAGTACGCTTTTTGGCGCTCCTCGAAAAGCTAATCTAACTTCAAATATTACAACAACCACATCGAGTTATCAGGGTGGATCGCCGAGCGTCATGGAAGGCCTGGGTCGGGAGTTTGTGCGGCGAAAGGAAGACTTGGTACGAGGCACGGAGGCGGGTATTGACATGGCGAGGGAAGCGGCCAGGCGGGGGCTCGAGGCCGCTGACAACGCCGCCCACGTGGTGGGCATCAACCGCATCCCCATACTGAGGCAATACCTGTGGGGGCAGGTGCACACTGGCTTCTGGAACTCCTACGAGGTATGTAGTTGTCACGAAAAGGGATGGGGTGGTCGTGGGTGAAAGGAGTGGTCTCCGTTGTAAGGAGATTGATTTGTGTTTTCTCGCCTTGTTGTCCGTGGTTCGTGCGATTTGCTCGCACAGTCCAAACACTAGAACTAATATGTGGCGGTCGTGGGCAATCGATAGACCGTACCGTGTGCCGTTCTAGTTTCGACACTTAATCTCGAGGAGTGTCCTACCGCTTGTGCAAGTGGTCAATTTACGTAAATGAAGAGATGGCGCGGGAGGTTCAGGCGCGCTTCTCGAATTTGGCGAGCGAGCGCAAATCCTCCGCGCTCTACTCCGGATGACTAGGGTGATCCGCACAGTAACAATCGTTCTTCGTCGCTGGCCTTTGTTTCCAAATGCACACCGGTGTACCAGGCTGTGCGGGGAGAAGTTCACGCTTGCGTTCGTAAGACGGTTGTTGACTGGTTACTCAGCCAGGACAACCCTCCAGACATCAAGCTTTACGTTACGGGGCACTCCATGGGCGGCGCCTTGGCGACGCACTGTGCGATGGACCTCAAGGCACGGCGTTGGGTTTCGTGTGTTGAGATAAATGAGGGGGGGTCCTAGGACGCTCGAACGCCACCCGGGCACGTTTGTAGTGTACCACGCTTCGAACAGTCAACGGTTTCGATGGAGTATCGGTTCTAAGCAGGTGTCACGCATGAAGACGGCACCAGTTACAGACAAGACACAAGGCGATAAGGCAGTTGCCCACTTGGTGCCCGGCGTCCAGCGTCGACGCACACAGAGTTGGCGTTCGCTGTGTGTGGTGCATTGGCCACCAGCTGCTGTCACGGAGATCATCACGGCTAGACGCGAGAGCTAAGGCAGTGTTTGTGATGATAGTCAGCCGCCCCACACGAGTTCACGCCAAAACACTTTTTGTTTTTCGTTTTAGAATCCAACAGAGTATTGAGTGATGATCATGCGGGACCCCACTGGTTCATATTGCTGTGCTTCCTCGGAAATGGCGGAAATAGCGGTCAACGTTCACTAGCTCTAAATAGCCGAACCTATCAATTTTGGCAGACATCTTCGACCTATCCTCGACAGCTTTACATGCGGTATCCATTTCAAATTCGTGTACCTTTTTTGCGTAAGTTAGCCTGACCACAGGAACCGACCGCGTTAAGTGTTTTACTTGTAGTACGGACCGAAAAAGGTACTTGGTAGAGAGAACGGAACAGTTTTTGATGTGAAGACAACAACATTATAGGAATGACGTTTGACACAGAGTACATTGGTGAGGCCTCCTGCTGATTTCAGTCAAGTATGCAAACGACCGCCTGTGTACGGCACACTAGCGTTGACAAACATCGTAACTTTATGGTGTCAGCAGTTCAAAATTAGAATGTCGAGTGGAATACACAACTCACTGAAAATCCTTCGATTTTGAGGCGCACTGGCTGAAACAGGCGTCGGTGAGCTTTTCGAACGTATTTGCAGTATCCTGAGGTGAGAGAGAGAGGGGGGAGCCGTGTTGGATGTCTATCATTCGACAATCCCACCTTTTTTGCGTTTTTTCTCGGTCTCAACTCCGTTGCTCTTCGTGTGCATGTTGTCTTGCCCCCCCTCAGTTGGACCTGCTCCCTCTTCCCCGTCCTTGTTGTTTGGTCCCTTCAGCTGCACACCATCGACAAGATTCAGGCCCGCCTAGGTACCTTCGTGCGAGTGCGGCGGACGTTGATGCAGAGAGTGATGGATTCGCTCCCCGGCCGCTTTCCGCAGCGCCGCGGCCGGCCGCACCACCATCAGCAGCGGCGGCAACAGCAACAGGCGCGTGATGGTTCAATCGCTGGGGGGAAGGCGCACCACGAGAACGGTCCTGGTGGTGGCGGCAGAGGCGGGCGGACGGATAAGACGGCCCCCCAGAAGGATGTCTGTCGAGCACTGGGTTCACCGCCGCAGCCTCCGCCATCACCACCATCGCCGACATTGCCCGGCAAGGAAAACCCCAGCGTGGCAGCAGCGGCAAGTGCAGCAGCTGCTACGGGAAGAGGGTTGAAGGGCCACAACACCCTGCAAGAGCTGGCGAGTAACCTTGGCAGGCGCTTTCAGAGGATGGGCGGGGCTCCGGCGGAAGTAGCAGGGGCCGCGGTTGGCGGCTACAGCGACGAAAACCATGGCAATGACTGCGCTAGTGCTTTCTCTCTCTCCTCTGGGAGAGAGAGCTGTGCACCCGATGACGTCGGTGGTGGCGACCAGCCCGCTAGAGACACCGCCGCCGGTACTAGCGGTGGTGCTGGCGCCGTTGCCACCGAAAGCAGTCCTCCTGCGGTCTTCACTCCCGCTACCCCTGGTTCTAATGTCCGGGCTCATGTTGTTTTCGCGGACGAGGTTGGTCGCCGAGAGTCGGACGAAGTCCACGCTACAACCCCCGGGCCCGCTGGCGTCGTCACCAAGGATGCCGCGGCTGTCGACGATGGTGCTGTGGCCGCTGAGACATTGGACGGTGGGGAAAGAGTTGATACGAGTTGCGGAGCCGGCGGTGACGGCAATGACGACGACGTCGGAGCTGCCGGGGGTGGCGGAGGCGGGCTGGGCGGCGGCACGAACGTCCTCCGGAGGGTGGCCACGCACCTCACCACCGTCGCGAGCTCGCTCGATCCCCGGAACCTTATCAACAGTCCCGCACTGCGGCGTCCCTTTTGGGGTGGTGAGGAACAAGGCGGCGGTGATGTGGACAGGGATGGGAGCGGGGACACGGAGGAAGTCTCACGGGGTACGATCGAGCTGCACATGTTTTCGTTCGGGGCGCCCCGCGTGGGGAACTCTATTTACGCCGCCCGTTACAACGACGTGGTGCCTCACAGCTTCCGAGTGGTGGTCGACGGTGACCCAGTCCCCGTAAGTGGGCGCGCATGATGCTGTTGGTAGTGACGTTGATTCTGTCTTGGGTGTTGGGTTTGTTGTCGGTGGTTGCTCCTGCTGATACGGGAACATCCGCCGGCACAGAAAACATACGGTGGCCGGCGGATGTTCCCGTATGGCTTGGCATTTCGTGTTCGTCAGTAGGCGAGTCCATTGGCACACCTTTGCTGCTCCTGGCTTGGCGAGGCATTTTTTTCCCGCTTCACTTTGATGCTGAACTTGCAAAACGTCAATTCCGCGGGGTAGAAGACAACAGATCGCTCCGCTTACACCCCTCCGACCTTCATCCTTCGTCCCGCCTTACCATCTTCGCAGGGTGTGCCCAGCTGGTGGTACACACATGTGGGCACTAAGGTGTTGATAGACGGTCGAGGAAGGGGAAGCTTGATCATTGACCCGAGCTTCGTGGAAAAACGGTTTTTCGTCAGGTCGAAGCGCTACGTGCTGTCCCACCTTACCGAGGCGTACCAGGCCGGCCTAAGGGGCAACCTGTTGCAGGTACCTTCCTCCCCTTCCTAACCCTTCAGTCCTTCGTGTCACTCATGGTGCTTCAGGATGAAGATATTAGTTTGACGTGTGTAGATTAGAACCTGCGTAGACCTGCGGAAACGTCGAAAATTGAGACTTTCATTTCGTTTCACAGACCTCCTCATGCTAAGGTCCCTACCCTCAAGAAGGTTTGAGGCTACCCGTCTCCTCGTACATGTGTGTGCACGAGCGGTGTAAGCAGGTCTGGGGCTTTGGGTTTGTGCGCTTCCCCGGCTCCCGTGGCCGCACGTGTTGAAGCCCGTCCATTTGTCGGTCGACCTTCATGGTGTATCAGTGAACGATAAAAGTATCGAGAGCGCAACTCATGTTGCACCGTTATGCCATGAGACTGGGATGCGCTTCTGATGCAACGAAACCCATGTGGGCTTCCATTCCCCGCATTCACGCACCGGCGGCATGGAAGACACCGGATCGGGCATTGGCAAAAGCTCGCTTGACCTTGCTGCGGAGGGTTGGGACAGATCGCTCTCCCTTTGCAAGCGGCATCTACCCGCAAACCCTACTCTCCTCAAAAGTGGATTACCGCAACGCGGATCACACAAGCTTTCACAAAATTGCACCGACTTGCCGCCAACTCCGCCTTCGCTCCCACCTCGCGCCCAAACCCAGGCGGTGCCTCCAAAATTCCAAGCGAGCATGCCAGCTCACTGGCCGTTTGGAGTCAAGGTCGATACTAGCAGCGACTCTTCCTCAGACGACGACGACGACGAAGACGACGGTGAACACAACGGTAGCACCGGTGCAAAGGAATGGAAGGAAGAGGTGGCGAACGTCGGGAAAGAAGCGGACTCGGGCACGGATAGCGGGGGTGAGGGAGCCTTACCCTCTTCCTCCATATCAGCGAGGCAAGACAGCATGGCTCAGCAGGCTGTGGACGCTCTCAACGAAGCAGACAGCCTCAATCGTGTGCAGTCGTTCCGGCTGGTCGCTAGGTCCGTCTCCGGCGCAACGTTGCGACCGGCCGCTCCTGCTCTTGAAACGGGTCCTGGTGCGGGTGGAGGCGATAGTGGTGGCGGCGGCGGCAGTAACGGCCTTGCGGAAGGGGTGAAACGCTTCCTTCGCCTTGGGGGTAGTACCGAAGACATGGCAACGATGGAGCAAGGGGGCGCGGTCGCCCTGGCAGGGGCTGTGCGGTCACCCCCTGCGGCAGCGGGGATGGAGGGGCAAGCAACAGCGGCAAGGGTGGAAGCCGTGGCGCAACAGGCAGGGAGTGGTGTTCATTCTGAGGCAATATCGCCCACAGAATAATGCTTGGTCTCTCGTGTAAAAAAAAAAAAGGGCTGCGGCACGGTTCTCGGGGCTTCTGGGCCATCGTCGCGGTAGCAGGGGACCTGCATGGTTCTATTGTGTGTTGAGAGGGATGGGGGAATGCCCTACGGCAATAGTCGCCCTCATTAGTAGCCGTGCACCCACCATTCTAACTGGAAGGTCAGGCGAAACCGAACCTTTCTGACAGGAACAGAGGCAACGACGCGAAACATAAATGGATATGTTGCAGGTGCGAAAGTCAGGGTGCAGGTGTTTTCGGGGATGGAATCAGTTCGTCTTCCTTGGATGACGTTGCCGCAACCCTCACGAGCTTGTCCGCCTGATGATCGATTGCGGAAAGGGAATGAGGTATAGGTCCGAGATGCGCGCGGGTTTAGGAGTGGCGGTACAAGAGGTTGGTGTTGAATATCGAGCCGTAACTTTGGTTGTGGCATGTTTTTGGAGGAAGAAGATTTGCCACCCTGTTAGTATACCTGCTCGCCCTGTCCATGGTAGGTGATGTTTTTATGGTTGTTGGAGCTCCCCGCCCCACCCTGGAAATTGTGTGTGCCCCGTTTCTTTCGTGTGCACAAGTTTGTTTTATATCTTGACAATGCGGTGACATCGGTGAAACTACAGGTGCGTGGGGGGTTTCGTGTGGGAAAGAGCGTAGGACGAACCCTTTTGTCGCGCATCCCTTGTCAGAAAAGCAATCGAGATTTTCAAGTTGTGGACGTTATACGCATACAAGCAAGGAGTTGCTCTCGAGGTGCCTTCATTAAGATTGTTGTACAGATAGGTATCTTCTAGGGTTGGGTTTCTTGTGTGGATTGGCCCGGTGACAAGTGCGTTGTTGCCAGCGCCTCACGATGATTTTTCGTGATGATTGGGAGGATATTCAGCACCAAATTGGCGGTGTCTATTGCACTAGCAGCACGATGCATAACCACCCCGCGCCCCATTGGCAATCATGATCCGCGAGTGATTTTTTCAATGTTGTGGCGTGAACACTGCCCGTCGTTCTCGACAACATTGTGTGCGTGCAATGCAAGCTCGAAGCGCTTGTGATCCTCTTGTCGTGTGAGAAGGCTATGCGGTGTCGGGTTGGGGTTGTATCCGGTGTGGTGCTGATAAGTCCAACCAATTTGTTGGCATCGCGTTTCTTTGTTGTGGGGGGTTGAGCGTGGATTCGTCCGAGAACGGTCGAAACTTAAAGAAATGTAAGATGTTGTTGCGGTAACGCGTACCAGTGTGATGAATCTGCAAAATCTATACTTGAAGTACATGATTCTATGTTGGCGGTATTCCTTACGCACGTAGTACACTGCTGTGAGTAGCTGGACAAATTACAAGCAGACCTCAAATGGGGCACCAAATCCCAAGGCTACATCAATGACTGGCACCAAGTCTTGTCGGTGTCCTTTTCATTAGCATTGCCCACCCCTTGCCCGACGGGGCCTCAAAAGCTCATCTCAAGCTACAGTGCACGACGTGCGACCACCGAAGGATGACTTCGTAGGGCATCAAGAATCATGACGCCCCCTGAGATTCAGCGGCTCCTTGAGACGTAAAACAGCATGTTTCGTAGAAGTCTACACTCGGTTTCACAGGGCACCGAAAGCCCTCTCTATGAATGTCGTCGGAAAGAATGCATGGGTGAACTCCGGCAAGACTGAATTTGCGTGGGCTCTTTTTCTTCAACGATATGGTACCATTTTTTGTTGTTTTGTCACAGATTTTGACGAGATTTTACTCCCAATTGGACCACCCTGTCCTGCGACCGAAAAAGGAGAGTTTGTTTCAGGTGCATACTGGTGCTCTCGACGAGGAAGCCTCCTCGAAGCTGACAGTGAAAAATGTTTAGATATTTTGGGGAATGACACCCTGTGATGTTCAGTCTCTGATTCGGTTAATCCGGGGAGATGTGCGTGTCGGAGTCAGGACTCGGTGTGACACCGGGACCTCCGGCGCAAACAGCCCTCAATATGAATGCTATGGACAAGAATGAAAGAGTGAATGTCTCACGTAGTGGTTTCGAGAGAAACAGAGTGTAAGGAGTCGGGACCCGGGTTCACACCGCAACTTGGGACACCGAAAGCCCGCCTATCAATTCATCGGCAAAAATGAATGAGTGAATTGACGCGAGACCGTGTTTCCGTGGAGCTCTACTTCTTCAATGGTAGAGTTCTCCGTTCGTCGGGATATCGCGGAAATGTTGGAAAAAGTTCACTCTGACGTCGACCACCGTGTCACGCTACAAATCGTACAGTAGTTCAGTCTCAGACGCATATCGGTTCCCTCGGCGAGTGACCCTCCTCGACGCTGACAGTGAAACATGTTTTTGGCAACGATACCGTGCGATGTGATGCCTTGGATTCACTCCACTGATTCGCGCCAACCAGAAGATATGCGTCGGAGTCGGAACTCGGTTTCACACCGGCACGTGGGACACCGGAAGTCTTGTCTTGGGAACCGTTTACAAGATCAACGAGGATGACAATCTCGAACCCGCCTCGAACGATGTGGTGATCGATCTAAGAGGTTGCATGCAAAGTGTTCCTGCTGGTCTCGTTGGCGCAGACGTAGCGCAAGCCTAATCGATGTCGGTACAACAACAGCCAAACCGGCAGGGGGAAAGGGTGGCTAGGCGGGGGGGCGCACAGAGGATGGCAGTGATACCGTCACCGACGAGGGTGAGATCGACGGCAGTCTGCCGAAGAAGAGTGTGGAGAGGGGGGAAAGCGGAAATGGCATGATCCATGGGCAGGATGACGACAGTGGCGACTTCGGAAAAGTATAGAGTAGCAGTACGAAGGATGCCGACAGTGATGCTTACTTCGGCAAGTCGGTGATGACCAGTAGGATGACGGCAGTGATGTCGACTCGGGCAAGGATAGGAGTAGCGGCGATAACGATCACAACTGGAGGCCAATGTTTGACGACGACAACGACAACGAGGGTGCGCATCCCGCAGAACGTACAGAAGGTGCGGCAAAACGCCGCGAGGTATGCGATAAGCGTCGAGTCTTGGCCACGGTGATGGCGAGAGCAAGGAGAACGTGGGCGAAATCTTGTGGTCAGTTTCGTCTGACCAACCCCTGGGTAAACAGATCCAAAGTCGGGGCATACATCCAGTACCTGCTAAGTGTGTGTGTGTGTGTTTTATTATTAGCATCGACCGCGCTAACCGGCTGACCAATGAAAAGACGTCAGTCTTAGTGCGGTTGAAAACACAATACACTTCTATCTACCATGAACTGGGACCCCGTGAGGGGGCAGCATGGGGGAGGCTAAGCCATCCTTCGGATTAAAAACAGAAACAGCAGCAACAGACGAAAAATGCACGCGTCTACCAAGGCTATTACCTAGTACTCGAGTTCGTTTAGGAGTACTTTCACCAGTGTCCTCCTTGTTTTCGCTACCATCATTCTGATCCTCATTTCGACAAGAAGAATCTCTGGGCAGTTCTTCCCTAGCCCTACGTTTCTTGTTGTGGGGAAGGTCATCTGGCTCAAACCCTTTGCTCTCTTCCACTCCTCCATGTTTTTCTGCTCCATCGTCGTCATCCTCCTTTCTCCCCTTTCCCTTTCCTTCGTCTTCGTCACTCCCAAAAGAATTACCCTCGCTACTATCGTTGTCGCAGAGATCCCAACCGATTGGCCCTGGTGGAAGTTGGTCGATCAGTAGCCCATGACGTTTGAACACATCGCGAGTTCGCATCGACAGAAAACGAGCTAGCTCGAAGGTAAACCGTCTCCGAATCCTGTTAGTATGAAAAGCTTTCAGGCGAACTAAGGCCCTCTCGTCGTCAAAATTTCCCCGGCAAAAAGCTTCGTGCGCCAAGTGGTTGGCGATAGCAACGATGAGTCGATTGGTGCCTTTGCCAAGACCACCATTCGTTGAAAAAGCAGGTGTGTGTGTGTGTGTGTGTGTGTTTTTATTATTAGCATCGACCGCGCTAACCGGCTGACCAATGAAAAGACGTCAGTCTTAGTGCGGTTGAAAACACAAAACACTTCTATCTACCATGAACTGGGACCCCGTGAGGGGGCAGCATGGGGGAGGCTAAACTATCCTTCGGATTAAAAACAGAAACAGCAGCAACAGACGAAAAATGCACCCGTCTACCAAGGCTATTACCTAGTACTCGAGTTCGTTTAGGAGTACTTTCACCAGTGTCCTCCTTGTTTTCGCTACCATCATTCTGATCCTCATTTCGACAAGAAGAATCTCTGGGCAGTTCTTCCCTAGCCCTACGTTTCTTGTTGTGGGGAAGGTCATCTGGCTCAAACCCTTTGCTCTCTTCCACTCCTCCATGTTTTTCTGCTCCATCGTCGTCATCCTCCTTTCTCCCCTTTCCCTTTCCTTCGTCTTCGTCACTCCCAAAAGAATTACCCTCATTACTATCGTTGTCGCAGAGATCCCAACCGATTGGCCCTGGTGGAAGTTGGTCGATCAGTAGCCCATGACGTTTGAACACATCGCGAGTTCGCATCGACAGAAAACGAGCTAGCTCGAAGGTAAACCGTCTCCGAATCCTGTTAGTATGAAAAGCTTTCAGGCGAACTAAGGCTTGTGTGTGTGTGTGTGTGTGTGCTTTCATTATTAGCATCGACCGCGCTAACCGGCTGACCAATGAAAAGACGTCAGTCTCAGTGCGGCGGGTGTGTATGTGTGTGTGTGTGTGTGTTTTTTTTCGTTATATTTATAATGGCGACAGTCCCCCCATTTTTCGTGGTGATACGTGTACTTCACTTTTCAGCGTATGTCGAGCACTACATTTTTCAGTGTATTTTTTCATACAATTGCAACCATCAAGGGTCACACAGGAGGGGGTAAACACCAGGGCTTTATTCTTCTTTTAATATTTTTTCATACCCCACCTTCCTCCTGCGGTGCGTGCTGGATTATATTTTTATCGCGAGAAGGGTCCAGCCGTCCCTTTTCCTCGTCAACGGTGCTAACGTCGAAGTTTGGTACTCACGAGAGCTTGTCAGCTATATTTCGCTTTCACCCGCAAATGTCACAATTTTTCACCCCATGGGGATTCGAACTCACGACCTCTGCGACTAGCGGATTACGAGGATACCACTAGACCACCGGGGCGACCGGTGGGTAGACGACCGCGAATCCAGCACAGGCCCCCAAGAAAGGGAGGCCGAAAGTTTTCGACCCGCGAGGAAGAAAGTCTTGATGTCAAGCGAGAAGAGGAGCATTCGAACATCAGCTATACTGCAACACCCGCCAATCCGCGGGGCTGAAGGACAAGTCGCGGAGATCGGCAAGGATGAAGGGTTTGATCGAAGGTGGACATCGGCGGCCGAGAAAAAGACCGAGACCGAATACGTAGTTGACCATGGAGTCGTTCCTAAGGCCGGAAGGGGAGGTGACATGGTCAACGTCAATATTTTGTGTCTATGACATGGCACGTTCGTGTGCAAGGGTGTGTTCGTGGATTGCTCAAAGTCTCGCGAGTTTTTCTCAGGGATGCATGTGTCAAAAACAGTAGTCGAAGAGGCGAACCACCCTGCAATGGTGGCGATTCTGCCACTTTTAACAGAAGTAGTAACCACCGGTTTACTCGGTATTCACCACGAACCTCTTGTCGCTCCTCTCCTGAAGCCGCGTGCCTCCCGGCCCTACACCCATTGCACACCTCACGACCATCAGGCGGATCAGCTCGGTGGATTTGCAGCAACCTTCGTTCAACGAAGAAGACTGTCCCTTTCATCCTCAACCCTGACTTGCAAGCACGCAAGGGACTTGTTGTCTCCTTCTCTGCCCCTGCATTTGTCTCTGCGTCTATCTCTGTCAATATGCTTCAGTGTCGTCTGACCTTCAGCTCGAATCTTCTGTGCACCCCCGCTGACGGACGACGTACTAACGTGCGCAAATATTACCGTACGGCAGCCCCCGTCCTTTCTCAACACATGACAGAACCACGCAGCTTCCTGCTTCGGTGCCGATCGTGCAAGCGCCTCCGAAGAACATGCCGCCACTGCTTCCGCGGGAGAGACCATATTGCCGAAGAAAATATGGCATTCCATGCCTGTCGCTACCCTCGTCGCTGTTGCTGGCCCCCTCCCTGCTGCCGCAAGGGGCTATCATATAGCATAGTCGCTGCCTTCCTCGATCGCCACCAAATCCCGGCTACTACGCCAGAGACGGAGCAGCCGGTTTGCTCCCTTCTGCAAGACCGATAATACCATCACCGCCGTCTTGGAGAGCTGTCTGTTGTAACGCGTCTCTCGCTCTCCCCACAGATTTACCGATTTCACCATCCCCTCCATGCTCACCAGCACCTGTTGCGGAAGTGGAAGTGGTCGGTATCAACGATAGGCTGGAAACTGTCCTAGCGACTAGCCGGAACGACTGCCCGCGATAAAGTTTGTCCGCTCTCTTGAGAGCGTTCACCGCCTGTTGAGCCATGATGTCCTGCCTCACCAACATGGACGAAGACGGCAGGACCCCCTCCCCCTCGCTGTCCGTGTTCGTATCCGCTTCTTCGCCGACGTCCTCATCGTCCTGCTGCCTTTCCTTCGCACTGCTGCTGTTGTCCTTGATTCCGTACGGCTAATGAGCTGGCACGCTACCTTGGAGCTCAGGCGATGGTGGGATTCGGGAGAGGACAGAGTTTACTACATATTTGGGCAACAATGGTGAGATTCGCGCTTTGCAAAATCGTCATCTTTGCGGATTGAGGTCGAGAGTTGTAAGGAGGGACTGCAGCCAGCCGTCCTCAACAAGGTTTAGCTAGCTTTCGGCAACGAAAGGACGCGATATTTCTCTGATTGGTACGTGAAGGCAGAGTGTGGAAGACGAACATGTTGGATGATTTTGAGGCGCACACCAGCCGCGTTTTCTCAGACCTGTGGTTGCAATATGAGAGTCACGGACTCGTGCTCAACACCTGTGCATATATAGGTCGAGCCTGCCAACAACCGGGTTGATCGACAGCTGCGCGTGACAATGCTCTGGACCCCCAGCAACAACAACTATACACTGGGGGTACCTGCAACAGGTTGCAGCTTAGTCCCGCTTGGTACGCCTGGACGAGGTCGGAAAGCACGTGGCGCTTGGACCGAGCGAAAAATCTCTTCTCAGCGAAGCTCGGGTCAATCATCAAGCTTGCCCTCCTGCGGCCGTCGATCAATGCCTGGGTGCCCGCATGGGCGTACCGCCAGGTGGGGATTCCCTGCGAATTTCATGGCGGGGTGACGGTCGGAGTGTAGCAAGCGTGGCGACTTGTTGTCTCGTACCGCGTGGTATTGTACATTTGTGCGGATTCAGCACGAGTGTCGGAATAGTGAAGAAACTGGGCTGCCTGGTCCGCCTGCAGATGCACAGGATTCGCTAAGCCCAAGCAGCACCATCTACCGATAACCGTACGCGTTTGGTGCCAAGAGAGGTGCTAATCGACAACAAACGCAAGAAAAACACAGAATCATCGGAATTGCCGAAAGCATCCACACCCTAGCATACACTTACAGGGACTGGGTCACCGTGGACCATCACTCGGAAGCTGTCGGGCACCACTTCGTCGCAATGGGCGGCGAAAATCGAGTTCCCTGCGCGGGGCGCCCCGACCGAATACATGCGCAGCTCGACTTTCGGGGTAAGAGGGACCTCTTCCGCCTCCTCGCTTCCATCCCCGTCCACCTTCCCGCTGTCGTCGTGTTCCTCACCGCCCCAAAAGGAATGCCGCAGTGTGGGATTGTTGATAAGGTTCCGGGGATCGAACGAGCTCGCGACGGTGGTGTAGCGCGAGGCCATCCTGCTGAGGACGTGCGTGCCATCGCGCGGCTCGCGATCGTCGTTGCCGTTCCCAGAGGAGACGGAGCACGCGCCATCGCAGTCATCGCCACGGCTTTCGTCGCTGTCGCGATGAGCGGCGGCCCCTCCTACCGTCGCGGAGGTCCCGTGCTTCGCCTGAAAGCACCTGCTCAGGTTTCTCGCCAGTCCTTGCGGCAGGTTGTGGCCTTGCCCACCCCCTCTCATAGCAGTCGCTCCACCCGCCGCCGCCGCTGCCGCCGCGTTGAGGTCTCCCTTACCGGGCAACGTCGGCGATAATGGTGATGGCGGAGGCCGCGGCAATGCATGCGAGCCGTTCTTCGGGGGGGGCGGCTTGCCCGTTCGTCCGCCCCTGGTACCACCACCGGGACCGTTCTCGTGTGCCTTGCCCCCGGCGTTATTACCATCACGTGACTGCCGCTGATTATGGCGGTGAGGCGAACCCGCCACTTTCTGCATCAACGTCCGCCGCACGTGCATGAAGTTACCTAGGCGGGCCTGTATCTTGTCGACAGCGTACAGCTGGTGCGATCAAATAACACATCGATGAGGAAGCCGGAACAGGCCGGAGGGGAGGAACAACACATGCGCACGAAATGCAGCAGAGGTGAAATCCTGAAAACCTCTGGATGTGGTCGGACTGTGGAATGATGGATGCGTACAGACTATGGCATGTCAAACGCCTTTTCAACGCTTAACCACATGTGTTTCAACCAATGCTTGATAGCAGAAGTCTGATGAAATGAAAAGACGGATATCGGGGATTTTGTTGTTCCATCTCACCCTTAGCTATTCCACCGCGTCAAGCCCTTTCGTTGTGATCCCTCACATAGGCAGCCGCTTGCTTCGAAGTATGAAAAACATGCAGGACGCCTGAAAAACATCGCTCCAATGCACGTATTGTATGGCTTCGAGCCCTTACGATAATCGCCACAAACGTGCTGTAACTTGAGGGCTTGGTTCACAGATTTCAGCAACAAGCTTTAGGGGTCAGGTCCGCGTAGCGTTCGCGAATCGCCACAAGTGTGCAGCGTACTGAGTACTTCAGTAGCGCTAGCACAAGAAAATATTTCAGCATTTTCCGATCCGCGCCAGGGCGATCAATGGAGGGAATGGAGCAGTCACGCCGCAACGTCCACTTCCAAAGTGGCCGACGTTGCTGAACGCCAACTCCTCATGACATCCAAGCTACGTCTTACATTGTTTACTGCAGCAAAGAGCATGCAGTCAGGACTGACTGCAGCTCGGACATCTGGGGGGTACCTTGAATCTGTCTAGGAAACTCAAGCATGTCGGACAAATATCACAAGAGTTGATTCCTAGCAGGGCCTATGGGAAGTGATTGCCATCACGAGGAAATATGTTGCCTCACATAAACGATCGAGGATGCTCCTAAAGCTCATGGGTTCGGAGGACTAAATGGAGAAAAACGAAATAAAGGACGATATCTTCCTGGCGTGATCACGCACAAGGCAACCGACCTGCCAGGGGTAGTTGGGGGTGAGTGAGGGGGCATGAGTCACTGCAGTTCACCAGAAGGGCGCCGACAGACTTGCATACAACTATACCCACCTGATATGAGTAACCAGGGGGACGAAAAGGTGTATTTCTGTGTTGCATTATCTTACGAGCCCGGCCACGTTGGAATCCCCTGACTGCAGTACGTGACCCACGTGCTCAAAAACGCCAACTAGGTGTGTGTCAAGGGTGAGTGCAGGACATCACCCCTGTGGCCTGGGTCGCAACATTTCTCTTTGTTATCCCTTGCCTGTATTGGTCTCCCACTACCTTGACTAATGACGCCTGTTGTGATCCGATACTCCATCGAACGCCTTGACCGCTCGAAGCATGGTGCACTACTACCACGCCTGGTTGGCGTTCGAGCGCCCGAGGATCGCCCCCCTCTCCACCACTTGATCTTAGACACTCTTCCCAACGCCGTACCTTGATATCCATCCAAGGCGCCACCCATGGAGTGCCCCGTCACGTAGATCTTGATGTCTGGAGGGTTGTCCTGGCTGAGTATTCAGTCGATTACCGTCTCGCGAATGCACTTACGGACTTCTCCCCGCACACACTGACGAACGGGTGCGCATTTGCCAACGGAGGCGGACAAAGACGAACGATTCTTCCAGTGGGCGACGTGCGCGTCCGATCACCCCAGTCGCCGGGAGGCGAGCGAGAGAGAGTACGGGAGTCGCTACCATCAAGAAAACCTACTGTCAGGGTCCCGCCATAGGGAGTGTTAGCGGCACCTGAACCGCCCTATCGCGGGACCTCCGCATGGGTAGCATGAACTCGGCCACTACACGAGATTTCATCACTGTCGGCAAATTCAATGCCAAACGGTTTTGACCGCAACATGTCGGGACCCCGCACTGCTCGGGGCCAGCATTAGTGAGGGACCCTGATATCGCCTCCCTCTCAAGACATGACAGCCGGTGGGTCGGTGCGGCATGTTCGATGTCTGGTGGCCAGGACCTGAGCGATGCGTCTTTCGAGAGATTCCGCCAGGACACCTCCATCGTCCCCCTTCTCCGAATACATATTTTCCGGCGTGTAGACGTTGAGCTTGGAAAATCAACCCGTGTGTGTTTGTGTTTTTTTGCTTAATAGCGTCGACCGCGCTATTCGGCTGACCAATGAGAAGACGTGCGTCTCAGCGCGGTTGACAACACAAACGATTCTAAGGGCCACGATCTGGGACCCTGTGACGGTGCGTCGTGGGCTGCTCTCCGGATTAAAGACAGGCACCGTGGCGATGACAAAAGAAAAATGCACGTGCTTTCAATGGCTGCTATCACTTTAGATGCGCCATCGTTTCGAGTTGGTTTCATCGTCTTCCCTGCATTTACGTGTGTGTGTGTACATGGGCGGGCTCACAATGTTCGAGCACCGTGCTTGACCGTCCCGGCCCATCAATTCGTTTACATGCGGCAAACGCTTGAACAGCCCGCGGTGGGATACGCCGCGGTGTCGTTGGTGTCGAAACTAGAACAGCACACAGACGGCCCATGGATTGCCCTCCACCGCAAAACAATATGTAGTTCTGTCGGGAAGTTCAAGCTGCTCACGCGAACCACGACAGCAAAGGGGACAAAACGCAGGAGATATCCTGGCCGCCGAAACTACTCATGTAAGCCTGATCACGTCAGCCATTTTCTTGCCGACCGTTTACCTCGTACGCGTCCCAGAAGCCCGTGTGCACCTGTCCCCACAGGCACTGTTTCAGCAAGGGGATGCGGTTGATGCCCATTACGTGGGCAGCCTTGTCCACGGCCTCATCCACTGCCTGGCCGCCTCCCTCAGCATGTCAAACACCGTTCTCTTGCCTCGGACCAAGTGCTCCGTTCGCCCAACGAATTCTGGACTCGGTCCTCCCATCGCGCCCGGTGATTCGCCCTGATCGACGTTGTTTCCGTTGTTGTATTCGAGATTAGATTAATTCTTCATGGAGCGTGAAGGATGATTACAAGGAAGACTTGCGCTTGAGGGACCAACTGTTTTGGGCTGATGTCGCATATCGGTTGAAGAGGGGTTGTCTCGACACTGTCCGTACCAGACACGAGTCGGACCTTCAAGGTCACGATTTCCGTGGAGTATCAACGTATAGAATGCAGTGCTCGAGCGCGGGACGGCTACAAGCCCGAACCGCAAACACAACCAAAACAGCAACTGCGATACCGGCCTACGGTTCCAGCAAAGAGAGCGGCTTTTCGACGACGTCACCGATACACCTTGTTGTCGCACATGTATCCAATCGCTTGCCACTGCACAACGCTATGCAAACTGATCACCGGAACTCCTCGCCAGCTCTCTCCTACGAAAGGTAGTCAAGTCTCTACCACTCCCATCCGCCACGACGACCGCTCCCGTCCTCGCCCCTCCTCGTTCCTCGAGCGGGCGGCCTGTTACCCGTCTCCGGCCTCTAGTATCGCGGCATGGTTAAACGACGCCGGCCGTCCCGTGAACGAGTGCACAGAACGCCCGCCTCCACCCTCGGCTTCGCCTCCGCCGCCTCCCCTGCCAAGCAGCTCTATTCCTCCTTCGAAGCTCGCTGTAGATATTGACCTTGTCCCCCCCTCGCTGATGCTGCCACCGCGACCCCCCCCCGTCCCCTCGCCCTCCCCATTCTAGATTTAAGTGGGTTGGCGCTGTTGGCAAAGCGCTGTAAAACACGCCACCCCAAATATAGCCCGCATAGTATGCGCTACCAAAGACGCGTGACGCATGGATGCGTGGAGTGTGGATAGCTGACAGAAACCTCACAGGTTGAGTGATGTAGGAGATTACCGGACACATAGACGTGTTGAGTGATTAGACTATAGTTGTATACTGAAACCGCAACCGTTGGGTGAGGTTTGAGATTGCCAGACACATGGACGGGTTGAGTGGGGATAGCTACATGCTGAAACCCCACGGCTTGAGTGATGTTGGAGTGCCGGACACATAGATAGACGCGTTGAATGAGGANGCAACCGTTGGGTGAGGTTTGAGATTGCCAGACACATGGACGGGTTGAGTGGGGATAGCTACATGCTGAAACCCCACGGCTTGAGTGATGTTGGAGTGCCGGACACATAGATAGACGCGTTGAATGAGGATAGACACAAACTGAACCCCAAAGGTGATTTGTGATGGAGATTGCCGGACGCATAGTCTAGACGTGTTGAGAAACCTCACAGATGCATTGGTTTTTGAGTTTGCCAGACACATAGACGCGTTGAGTCGGGATAGCGGCATACTAACACCTCACAGATGGACTGGTTTTTGAGTTGGCCAGACACACAGACGCGCTGCGTGGGGATAGCTTCATACTGAAACCTCACGAGTTGAGTGATGTTGGATAGTGCCAGACACAAAGACGCTTTGCGCGAGGAAAGACACATACTGAAACGTCACAGGTGATTTGTATCGGAGATTGCCGGACACATAGACGTGTTGAGTGAGGATAGCTGCATGCGGAAACCTCACAGATGGATTGGTTTTTGAGTTTGCCAGACACATAGACTAGACGCGTTAAGTAAGGATAACGGCATACTAACACCTCACAGATGGATTGGTTTTTGAGTTTGCCAGACACATAGACGCGCTGCGTGAGGATAGCTACATACTGAAACCTCACGAGTTGAGTGATGTTGGATAGTGCCAGACACATAGACGCTTTGAGTGAGGATAGACACATACTGAAACCTCACAGGTGATTCGTATTGGAGAATGCCGGACACCTAGACGGGTCGAGTGAGGATAGCTGCATGCTGAAACCTCACAGATGGATTGGTTTTTGAGTTTGCCAGACACATAGACGCGCTGAGTGGGGATAGCTACATACTGAAACCTCACGAGTTGAGTGATGTTGGATAGTGCCAGACACATAGACGCTTTGCGCGAGGAAAGACACATACTGAAACGTCACAGGTGATCTGTATCGGAGATTGCCGGACACATAGACGTGTTGAGTGAGGATAGCTGCATGCGGAAACCTCACAGATGGATTGGTTTTTGAGTTTGCCAGACACATAGACTAGACGCGTTAAGTAAGGATAACGGCATACTAACACCTCACAGATGGATTGGTTTTTGAGTTTGCCAGACACATAGACGCGCTGCGTGGGGATAGCTACATACTGAAACCTCACGAGTTGAGTGATGTTGGATAGTGCCAGACACATAGACGCTTTGAGTGAGGATAGACACATACTGAAACCTCACAGGTGATTCGTATTGGAGAATGCCGGACACCTAGACGGGTCGAGTGAGGATAGCTGCATGCTGAAACCTCACAGATGGATTGGTTTTTGAGTTTGCCAGACACATAGACGCGCTGAGTGGGGATAGCTACATACTGAAACCTCACGAGTTGCGTGATGTTGGATAGTGCCAAACGCATAGACGCTTTGCGTCAGGAAAGACACATACTGAAACCTCACAGGTGATTAATGATGGAGATTGCCGGACACCTAGACGGGTTGAGTGAGGATAGCTGCATACTGAAACCTCACAGATGAATTGGTTTTTGAGTGTGCGAGACACATGGACGCGCTGAGTGGGGATAGCTACATACTGAAACCTCACGAGTTGAGTGATGTTGGATAGTGCCAGACACATAGACGATTTGAGTGAGGATAGCTGCATACTGAAACCTCACAGATGAATTGGTTTTTGAGTGTGCGAGACACATGGACGCGCTGAGTGGGGATAGCTACATACTGAAACCTCACGAGTTGAGTGATGTTGGATAGTGCCAGACACATAGACGATTTGAGTGAGGATAGCTGCATATTGAGACCTAACGGGTTGAGTGACGTTTGTGACTGCCGGACACCTAGACGTGTTGAGTGAGGAAAGCGGCATACTGAAACCTCACAGGTTGATTTGTATTGGAGATTGCCGGACACATAGACG